TTTCTCAAGGCCTCGGATAGTAAACAGGTGAACTTATGAGTGGTATGTAAAATTAGAAACTGGATTCAATCTCCTCCTTTGATTATCTCTGTAAGTATGATATGTGTTTGTGTTCTGTAGTGCTGTTCGTGAACTTGTGTAAGGTTATATAGCTCTATCGATCGAACAATATGGAGTCTTGTTGAGTTTAATTTGGTTCAGGAAAATGTCACTTTTAATATGGTCGATTGTGAAGAACAATATCTATCAAAAAGGAAACGAGTGTAACTTGTTCCAATAAAAATGGTATTTGGCTTCCTCACTAGAGACATTAACTAATTGATTAGTTAAGTGGTCTAGATTTTTTCTGTTTTCACATCTATATATATACACATATATACCTTTCAGAGGATTTTTGACTATGAAGATTTATAGATTTTTCAGAGCTCTTGCTTCATACAACATTAGAAATGTTGAGATGACAGTTTCAAGATCTCACCGTACCAAGGTAATTCCTTATTCATATACTGGAGAGATCAGGGTGTACTGTGCAATTTCTCGATCTGTTGTTCTGAAGGTTTAATGCTTGTTAGGTTGAGTTAAAAAAAATCTGAATTTGGTGGCTTTGGAGTTACTTAAAATGATGTGATAGTTAAAAGAGTGTGGTCTCATTCCGATTAATTTTGATGGTGATGACTTGTGTTTTTCTGTGTTGGCTCTAAATTTTGAACATATGCCTCTGATTGAAGTGGTAGACTTTGATTGAAGCCCATGTCAATGTGAAAACCACAGACAGCTACACCGTGAGGTAATTAACAAAATAATTTGTGTTTATTATGGATTCTGTAAATTTAAATGTTGAATAATATTCTATGAGATTCACATATTCTGTATTTGTAGCAAGAACYAGAACAAGTCTTCAACATTGAAGGACAATTTGGAGTTTTACCGCAAGAACCAGAACATTTTTGTATTGYTGGAGAGMAAAATGGTTGTGRGATTGTGCATGAAGAAGAAGTAAAGTTCAATTCTGGATCATATGGTGGATCTATTAAGCAAGAACATAAGCATTCAGATGATGATGATGATTACTCACGAAAGTGGTAAGCTTTAGAATAGAACTGGTGATGGTCAATCTGATGTATGACTAATTCTATGGAAGAACTTTAGATTTGTTCAATTGTTGTTGTCTATGCTTAAATTGGTGATGCAGAAAAGAACGAAACTTGTTCAAGCAACTGCAAGCTTAGAAGGGCAAGTACACTGAGGAAGAAGTTTGTTTCTCTTTATTCATTGTGATTAGCATTTTTATCGTATAGTAGTACGTGATGTTTCTATCTAAGATTTTTTTTGGATTCGAGTTTGTAAGAGTTTTATGGATTTTATTTTTATATAAAACTTTCTTTAATATATATTGTTGAAGGTAATAGTTTATACCCTACAACGTATACCTACAATAAACTAGATAATAATTACAGAAAAGAGCTACTAAAAAAATATAGTGGAGCGCATATAAAGAGCTACAAAACAAATTAAAATAGCGATAAAAATGTGTTATAATCATCAAACTTAG